ATAATAATAAGCCAGAGCACAGGTAGCGATGAATAGGTGCTAACTGTTCAAATGATTCGTGCATGTGTCAAGACTGCGACAGGAAAGTGCACCACAAAAAGTCCTCTCCCTTGAAACGGAAGTAAAGCTAAAGATCGCACACAAAGGCGATGAGATGGATCAAATATATGAGGCCATGAATACCATCATCTACACATAATACATCAAGACCTGCATCAGATGCGACTTCAAAATCTGACACTGAAAGCCATAAAAAGGAACAGAGAAAAGAAGAAGATACTAGAGCTGAATTTTCATAGACCAGTCAGCTTCTTTCCACAAGGGACTGCTACGAACATTCTGTGTGTTTTTCGTTGGCACAGGAGCGGAGCAACTATGGGGTGACCCGTTTGCTATGAAGCTAAAACTAAGATTACCAAGATTACAAAGACCAGTCAGCTCCTTTCTGAATAAGGCGTTTCCTGGTACCAGTTTTATTCTTAGTGAATGCGGTGGCGAAGGTCTATTATTAAACAAAAAACAGTGATGGTCTATAGTATAGGCGCTTAACTTTGGGGGCCAGACTGTGAGGACGTTTTAGCCAAGTCAGTTATAAAGAATTCTACCTTCATGTGGATTTCAGCCGAAGACCTTCCTGCCACCAGGCAAGCTCTAGCTACTGCGCGCTGCGGCCTCTTGTGTATTACTACTGACAATCTTCTTAGTTTAGGCGTCCTAAATTGACTCCATACTGCAAAAACACGGGAACCTGGGATCTCAGATGACTTCAAGTTCCCTCCTCCTCTTTCTTTCTCCAAACAATTGTAATGTGACTAAGCATCCCCTCCCTCTTTTTTCGCCAACTATGTTCGTTGTTAATTGTTTATTTATACATGTCATATTATTTCAGATATGACATTTTATCTAAATGCAGTTCAGCACCCCTGCATTAGGAAGCGCGTTCTCAACGCCTAAACCACATACGCTGACTAGCGCTTTATATATATATATATATATATATATATATATATATATATATATATATATATATATATATATATCACTTAATAATTTGCTGGCGTCTGTGGCTTAGGCGTTGCGAACGCGCTTCGTAATGCCGAGGTGCTGGATTCGATCCAGGACGCGGACGGTTTGTCTTGCGCTGGTTGTGACAGTGGTACCGAGATCTGACCCGTTCAGGAACAATGGCAAACTGCTGAACGTAAATTTTGACTAGAAAAAAAAAACACAACTGCCAAAAAATGCTGGGGTTGGTTCTGCAACGTCCTGTAAAGGATATGCAACTAACTTTAACTTAATTATTATTTTTTGTATTTTTGTATTTATTCTCCTGTTGCGCTATTATAGTGCACATAGGACTTGCTATCTGTTTTTTTTATTCTGTTCTATCCTGTGCAATCTCTTCGATTTCATGGATGGAATCAAGTCTAGCACCTTTAGCCTCTTTCATCAACGTCCGTTTAAAAGTTTCTTTTGGACGCCCTCGCTTCCTCAATCCCTTTATTTCCGTTTCCAGTGCCTGTTTGGTGATTCTCCGCTCGTTTCTTTTTAAAGATGTGTCCAGTGTAGCATGTGATCTCCCACACAGTTCTATTTTTTTTATCCCTCTGTTATATTTGTTTTTGTATATGTGTGTGCCTGTGTGTACACGCACTTAAATCATGTTTAAGCCCCTGAGATCCCCTGCCACTTTCACACTAGAAAATTTTTTTGGAGTAGATTGTCTTGTCTGTGTGCAACATTACAGACAAGTGTAGAGCCTGACAAGAACATCATCGTTATCATCCTGTAGCAGAACTTGTCTCTCCTCACAGGCTGCCTGCTTTATGCACTGCCCTACCCAACAGGTCACTTATATTCTGTGCCCGTCTTCATGTTGGTCGGCCCCTGTTCCTCTTTCCTGCAATCAGCGCTGTGACGCTCGATACGGCCCTAATATTTCCTTTTCCAATACAAGATGCTGTTTACTAGCCCATCTTCTTTGTTACTGAGATCTTGTAGGATATCCGTATTTCTTTTCTTTTTTGTTCATGGGATTATGAAAATCTGTTAATAATATTTCAGTTCAAATGCCCATTATTTCTTCTTTAAAGATACGCGATAGTCCACTACTCACCTTCATATGTTGCTATAGGCAAGACGCCATTAAAATATTGACCTTGTCTTCCTTGCTGGTGTTTTACATTTTAATGCTGTTTAATCTTTGCTATGCTATGACCATCCTCCTTTTGACCTCTGTCGAAAAGTCTCCATTGCTGTTTATTATAGGGCCTAGATATTCAAAGTTTGCTATATTATAGATTTCTTTATGATTATATTTATTATTTTGGGATGACAGGTAGCATTGTACGGACATTTTTCCTTTACATCCAAAAAAAAAAAAAGTTTTGATCTTCACTGGTTTTTTTAACCGCCATAATTAAATGTACCATTCCATTTACATTGTCCGAAAACAGGACTGTCCTAACAACCTACTCGTTCAATATCATACCTCTCTGTCAAGTGTATGTATAATGACTATCGGAATCACAAACACTTTTAGCCCAAACAAGTGTTTGTAGACACACCAATGTAAACACAAGACGGCGAAAATTTAAATCTGTTTTAGCTTTAAAAGCTTGCATCTGTAAATGCGGTAACGAAAGGGGAGAAAAAAAAACGTTTGCTTTGTAATTTGACAGCTATAATAACTCTTAGAGGGCGTAGGTGTCTAACGGTTTAGAACCGGATATGTCTGTCTGACTAACTCTCCGTCTGCCTGCTGTGAGAATACTGCGTGCTTGGGAGAGCCATGTGTGAGACAGCCAATGCCAAATCTGTGGCAATAACAATAAGGATCATTTCTTTGTTCTGTCAGTCTATCTCTCTCGCTCTCTCTCTCTCTCTCTCTCTCTCTCTCTCTCTCTCTCTCTGCTTGTCTGTCTGAGTGCTTGTCTGAGTGCTTGTCGGTCTGAGTGCTTGTCTGAGTGCTTGTCTTCCTGAGTGCTTGTCTGTCTGAGTGCTTGTCCGTCTGAGTGCTTGTCTGTCTGAGTATTTGTCTGTCTGAGTGCTTGTCTGTCTGAGTGCTTATCTGTCTGAGTATTTGTCTGTCTGAGTGCTTGTCTGTCTGAGTATTTGTCTGTCTGAGTGCTTGTCTGTCTGAGTATTTGTCTGTCTGAGTGAGTGCTTGTCTGTCTGAGTGCTTGTCTGTCTGAGTGCTTGTCTGTCTGAGTGCTTATCCGTCTTAGTGCTTGTCTGTCTGAGTGCTTGTCTGTCTGAGTATTTGTCTGTCTGAGTGCTTGTCTGTCTGAGTGCTTGTCCGTCTGAGTGCTTGTCTGTCTGAGTGCTTATCCGTCTTAGTGCTTGTCTGTCTGAGTGCTTGTCTGTGTGAGTGCTTGTCTGTGTGAGTGCTTGTCCGTCTGAGTGCTTGTCTGTCTGAGTGCTTGTCTGTCTGAGTGCTTGTCTGTCTGAGTGCTTGTCTGTCTGAGTGCTTGTCCGTCTTAGTGCTTGTCTGTCTGAGTGCTTGTCTGTCTGAGTGCTTGTCTGTCTGAGTGCTTGTCTGTCTGAGTGCTTGTCTGTCTGAGGGCTTGTCTGTGTGAGGGCTTGTCTGTCTGAGTGCTTGTCCGTCTGAGTGCTTGTCTGTCTGAGTGCTTGTCTGTCTGAGTACTTGTATGTCTGAGTGCTTGTCTGTCTGAGTGCTTGTCTGTCTGAGTGCTTGTCTGTCTGAGTGCTTGTCTGTCTGAGTGCTTGTCTGTGTGAGTGCTTGTCTGTCTGAGTGCTTGTCTGTCTGAGTGCTTGTCTGTCTGAGTGCTTGTCTGTCTGAGTGCTTGTCTGTCTGAGTGCTTGTCTGTCTGCGTGCTTGTCTGTCTGAGTGCTTGTCTGACTGAGTGCTTGTATGTCTGAGTGCTTGTCTGTCTGAGTGCTTGTCTGTCTGAGTGCTTGTCTGTCTGAGTGCTTGTCTGTCTGAGTGCTTGTCTGTCTGAGTGCTTGTCTGTCAGCAATGTTTTGTTTCCTATAATGTTGGACAGGGAGACTCTCTCAGCGTGCAGTTACTTGAGACAGTTATTCAGTGTAGGTAAATAGAAACTTGGCATAGATTTGCATTTTCTCTTACATAATATATTCCCCTAAAGACTGTATTAAAATACTGTATTGTTTACTTGTTGTACGCAGTCCGGGGTTTATACCGCCAATCTGACAAATTGTCTAGGGGTGAATGATTTTGCTTCACCCAGATATATATAAAAGTTCCCAAGTCGACTGTACAATGACTAATTGGGTTCCTTACCAGAGAGTGCTTAGATAACACAGTTACATATAGTCGCATCGTTCTACCAAAACCGATAACAGGGTCATTCTTTAAAAGTCATCTCCACAATAGTGCATCAGTCTCTTTATTTGTCGAACACATTGTGACTAAGATGAGTTGGTGATTGCGTAACTACTGTCCATCTAATACTTCCCAAGTACACACTGGTATACATCAAAGGCGGCATCCCATCAAAGGGCGATACCTGGTCTCGGCTTGACGTGAGTCTACAACATAAGACATCTTCGGCCTACGGGCCTACTCCTAGAGTCACCAGTAGCCTCTAAGAAACGCATTCGGCTGTGTGCCCACAATTTGGGTCAACACTTACCACTTACAAATAACTGACTAGAGACTTTGCCATCTGCACTGTCTCCCAGATATACAGTCGCGAGTCAGAATACAACGAGGAACACTAATATGGTTGAAATAGGTGAAATGAAATCTTGGTATAAACTAGCATTATTTACCATGATAATCTGACAGGTTGTAGGTTAAATCGCATTGTAAATTGGTGTGCAAACAAATTGTATTTGACTGTCTACCTCCCCAATCTTAATCTGTGAAATAGACACATGGTATAACTGTCAGTCTTAGCATAATTTTATTTATAGATTGACTAAAGGCTTAGGTATAGTTCGTTTTGTAAACTACGAGTAGTGACATGTGTTTTTCATTCTGGAATTTGAAATTTATAAACTACTAGCTGTACCAGGCCACGCGTTGCTGTGGCATAGTTTGGCTAAATGGAAATGAAAGAAAATACAATCATTGTCTGCTCAGATAAGAAATAGTCTTTGATCTCCACCCCACCCCCCACCCCACAACTAAATCCACCTACTACCCTCTCCCTCATCAAAGGTTTTTGGAAAAGAAAGACAATGGAAATCGCACCTTTCTAATATAGTTAATGTCGCAATCATTCTCTGCACATTTATAAAGAGATAGTCTGGTTTTCCAACTTTAGAAAACGCACCATATAATTGTGTCTTTATATTAGTGGTCGTCTAAATGGTGCTATTTGCACGGTAACAAAAGTGGTTATTTGGTTATTTTATGCTAAAGCTGTTTGTATTTTTATAGGAGACGGAAGTAAAGCTACAACTGTACTTGTAAATAACAAAGTAAGTCGTAAAAAATAGAAAAGCGGAGGTAGCGTTAGTAAAATATAAACAAACTAGGTAATGAGAACTTGAAAATCACGCGTAATGCTCTTTAAGTTCTCTTAAATTTAAGTCATTACCCCACTCCCCTCCCCTCTTCCACCGATTACTGCTCTCTCCCTCTTCGAAATATTTGAAAATCATTACCTGGCGATATTTTGTTGTTGCTGTAACTGACATTGACATCCCTGTCCATCTAGACTAAAATGGGGAGCAGGAATTGAAATAGGTAGTGAATGGGGCTAGTGTAATATTTACCACATCATCCTTCAAGTACCAGTATAAATACTAAAATAATGTCACTACTATCTGTGTTACCATCGGAGTAGACAGAGAGTCGTGAGCTAGAAGATTTGGTTCCGCATGGCTAGTGCTGTCGCCACAGACTGGTCAGGTTAGGATGTATAATTTCATTTGCCGACAGAAGAACGCCATAACCTTACCGGCGGTCTTCACATGAGAGCACTATGGTGTAACAGCCCAACCACAACTATTACTGCTGCTGCTACTTTAAGTGGGTAAAGCAGTTACTGTGACTTAAAGCTCTCTCAGTAAATAGTTTGCCCCTCCCCCTCCCCCCCCCCCAAAAAAAAAATAATTCACCGACAACTCTTTCTCTCATTGAAGTAGTTGGGAGGGAAAAAGAAACACTTGAAAAGCAAATGAAAACAGGAAAAAACACCATAATTAGGAAATGAACGCCATGGTAAACAGCACAGCTTAAAATTCCAACGCAGATGAAATAACTAAATCTAAATGAAAATAAATGAAAATCTATAAAATTTCAGCGTAACCATGCAATCGGAAAGTTTAAAAATGCAATCATAAGTATGCGAAATGGTCAAATTTAATTATCAAATGGTTTACCCATTTACTTGTCTTTTTTTTTTTTTTTTTTTTTTTAAATATTAAGGCAACATGGCTAGTGCTGTCACCACGACAGAGCAGATGAGGATATTATTTTAGTCGGGGGTAAAAAAAAAAATATTAACTACTGCGGATTCGAACCCAGGTCTCCCGAACAGGAACCCAGTGTTCTAACCATTCGACCAAGCAGCCAATTAATCGGATAAACGAAAAGAGAACTCAACTATTAGAGATATGTGTCCCTACTACTGAGTCCTGATTAAAACACAATTCAAACCGCAGGCAATTGTTTTCTCGTAGACAGATACTCCAGATATATTAATGAAACGGCACAACAAAAGAAATCGCACGTGTCTGACACGGTTAATGAAGTTAATGTCGCAGTCAATGTCTGCGCCGACGTCGAGATAGTACTTGATCCCCCCCCCCCCCCCCCCCCTCCCCAATCAAAGGTTGTTTGAAAAAAAAAACAGAAAATAGAAATCGTGTTTAATATGGTTATTGAGGCAAATATAGAGATAGTCTTGTTTAATGTGCCACGTCCTACTCTATGTATTAGAGAAGGCGTTGGCTGCACGTAACTCGCCGGCAAATGGCGGAAGCCTTGGGTTCTGACTACGGCGGCGCATGCGCAATTACTAACGTGGCTATAATTAGAAATCACTAAAGTTATAAATATTAGTTTCGAATATTATGGCTTAATATGTGGTCACCTATCTCTAACAGCGACAGGTTGAATTTCAAACCACGATGGTTCAAAATCCGGTATCAAAACAAACATATCCTGAAAATTTCAGCTAAATCGGTTCAGTATTTTCCGAGTCTATAGGGAGCAAACAAACACACAAACATTGATTTATATATATATATAGATAATTTTGGTGTGAAATGACAATGTTTACCGTGGTAATGTTTTGTGTGTGTGTGTGTGTGTGTGTGTGTGTGTGTGTGTGTGTGTGTGTGTGTGTGTGCTAACGATGTAGTCTCTAATACAACACTGCAAACGTCAAGTAATTGTGTCTGCTTTTTATTCTCAGATCTGCATTTGGCACCAGATACAGCAGAGAGATCTCACTTTTCGAAGACAACAACATTGCTTCTGTTCCGTTTACGTCAATTTTTGTCATGGCTGCGGGGTTAACGACGTCCCTATTTTTTGTCTCTCTTCTCCATTCAGTATAGTTGTAATGTGTTGCAGATTTTCATCCAAACAAAAATATCTTTTGAAATGTATAATCTTTAAAGTACGAATAGACAATTTGGATTTTGGTGATGAAAATCTAATAGTACATCTGAAGACGAGCAACCTTCAATAAATCGATTTCATAAGCTGTGTATGGTGATTCACTTACTATTTCCCATTTCATCTATGGTATTTCGTTTCCTTTATATGTATAAACGCTTTTCTGTGTAGGGTATTCTATTCTCTTCTTTGCTGATTTGTTAATCATTTGAAAGGTGATTCATTTGCTATTTACTAGTCCTATTTAGAGTAATTCATTTGCTATTTTCCCGTCTATCTACAGTGATTCTGTTGTTTTTCCCTGTGCTAAGTAGAATAATTCTTTTACTGATTTCCCGTGTATTGTAGAGTGGTGATTTATTTTCAGATTTTCCGTGCCATTTATAGTGACTCATTTGCTGATATCTCATGCCGTGTATAGCGATTAATTAGCTGCATTTCCATTCAGTTAAGAGTGATTCATTTGCTAACATGCTGGCTCTGTCCATACGTTATTTGTGCTCAAATGCTGCTTATTTCATTGGGGGCACAACTAAGCAAGGTAAGGAGGGTGAAATGGACAAACGAGGGAAGATCATATTTTAGGAAATAACCACAACCCTTCTGCGCCATTTTCCGCTGACAGCGGATTCTCCCCGTCTTTTCTATCATGTTCAACTGTTTCAGTATCATTGATAGAATATAGCCCAGTACAATAGACCTCCCTCATCAACATTCGTTTGGGGTATTTCAGGACGTTCTGGTCAACATTGGGAGCCACCATGGTGTTGCGTCTAGGCGTTCTCCTGCGGAAGGGAAGTTTGTAGGTTCAGTCCTGATGAAACTGACTTTTTTTTTTTTTTTTTTAACGAACTTGGCTTCCAGGTAGACCCAGGCTTAAATGGGTACCAGTTGCAGTCCTGAGAATTAAAGGGACCGGCGTGTATATCACCCACTGAGTGTCGATTGGTCTATAAAATTAGGTCTCTCTGTGAATGCCCAGTAAGCCTAAAGGCGTGGAAAAAAATGCTTTTAATAGTCAATATTACTGTGTAAATGTACATTGAAAGCAATGGCAAACTACTGAACGTAAAAAAAGCTGCTAGAAAAACCACAACAGCCGCAGAATGCTGGGGTTGGTTCTGCAACGTCCTGTAAAGGATACGCAACTAAGTTTAACTTAAATGTACCTTAATGTTTCATACAGATGTCAGTGTCAACTAATAAATGTCTTGTTCAGAAATAACACAAACTGTTATCCGGGATAAAGGATGCTGCACAAGTTTCACAGAGATTAAGTTGGCTACTAGTGCAGAAGAGGATATAAAAGCAGCTGGAAAACAATCACTGGTTCGTTGGTTAAAGGAATAACATATTCAATACAGCTCAACGAGCCTTTATGCTGTTGGTTAATTGCGACCTATGTCGCGTAATCCTTAGTGATGATAGTGCTTTTTAAATTCGTATTGAGTATTTTTATTGAATATCTTCGATTTGCCTATTCTACGTACTACAGTTCGATTTAAAACTGAGTGCTTCTGGTCAACTTCCATCGCTGCTTTCTGTGAAATAATGCACTTTCGGTCGTCATATAAGGTGATGCAGTTTCGTTCCCAGCAAAGACTTGTCCCTACCAGAACACATTTTAGTAGAGTTTTTGCATTAATCAGATACGTCTGCCGCAACATTGGCAGTATTCCGTACCTATAAGATACTCAGTCTTGCAAACAGGGTTTAAATATCGTAAGACGTGAGACGTGAAAGACGAAAACTGGTTAAAGAAAGGGCTTTCTTCTATGGCAAAAAGGTACTGGTACTCTCTCCCAAGTGTCAGATACGTCTGCCGCAACATTTGCAGTCTTCTGTACCTATAAGATAAACAGTCTTGCAAACAGGGTTTATGTAGGGGGGAGAGGGGGGAATCGCAAACTGTACTCAAGGCGTGAAAGAAGAAAACTGGTTAAAGGAAGGGCTTTCTTTTATGGCAAAAAAAGGTACTGGTACTCTCCCCGAAGTGTCTGTTAGACTAGAAAGCACATTTCAGCATATCCTTCGACGAGCACTCATTTGCAGTAAGTTGCTTCTTGCTTTTGGTATCCACACTGCAGGATACTGTCTAGTGAAAGCTATGATTCGGCGTATTTTGTAGCGTTAGGCTGGGTAAGAGGACGCCCTGCGATCCCGATAACAGCAGTGCAGACATTATAGAAAAAGAATTGTTTTGAGAACAGTAATTACTTGGAAAAGGGGGGGGGGGAACGGACAAGGATGTCATGGAAGACAGGTTGACGCATCAGTTCAGTGGTAAAAACAATAAGTTATCTCTTGCGCATTTCTTGTGTGGCATCAGGGACCCCATTTTGGAAAGGGTTTGGGGGGGGGGGGGACCAGCTGTCAAACATGCAGATTGTACAAGGTGACCTTTTAGGGATTTCTGAAATCGGATGCGTTTGGTTGAAAGATGCGGATATCACACCCTGTAAGCCGCAACACAGTATGCCATATTCTCTTTCAAAGTCGAACTTAGAAGAATCACTATGAAATCGTTTGCAGATGCTTTCTAAATAGCAACTTGAAGAATGTAGATGATGAATGTTAAATTATTAATCGACATCATAGCACTCGGGACACTCAAATAAACGCCCCGTCCCGATATTTAGCAGCAAGTGAAGAGTTACGACTCAGATGGCACCAGTATCTGTCTCAATATATTATGTCTTAGAAATTATTAATGAAGGAATGTAATGAGAATCATTTTGACTGACTTTCTACCCCACCAGGACATCACACAAGCGATAAACACCCGGTGACACAAAGTGCCACCATGCGGATGAGGATCGCCGTGGAGAGGTCCCAGAAACCGCGTTCAGACAATTGGCCATATTTATGGCCTGCCTATATTGCGGCCCCTGGCAAAAGCCATGGTGGGGCTTCAAAAAACAAAAAATTTCGTCCTGAAAAGGACGAAACTGTATGCGAAAACAAAATCATTTTAGAATGCGATTCTTATAAAGTAATAACTAATTTGAACAGTGAAATGCTGTTGTGGTAGGAATAGCTAGAAATTACATCTATTTAAGACATCCAGGAATAAATTTGCAAAAAAAGTATTATTATCGAATAAAGCAATGCTTGGTTGGGTTGTAACTATATAAATAACCGATTTGATAAATTTAATTGTTCTATTGTCGCATTATGTTTCAGTCTTTTGTGTTGTCAGTTTCCACAGTATTCTCCCATTTAGTGATCACCGCCCTTTGCTATACGTCGCCCACTCGTCTGATGTCCAAAAGGTCAAAGTTTTGAATCCGTATCAAGGCTTTTTTTTTTTAATTGGTTTTGACACGCCCTTTGAAATGTCTAGTTTAACGATATTTTAAACAGTGGACACGTACCTGGTGACTTTTTAAAATCTGTTTCATACCTTTACCAAAAGCACCTAGTTCAATGGAAAATGGAGAACATCAGACTTATTTTAATGATTTATGTAACTCAAACATTAATAAGAATTATCGTGAGAAGAATAAGGTAAAAGATTAAACCAGAAACTGGAGAAGAGCAGTCTGGTTTTGTTAAAGGTAAAGGCACAACCTACGCCATATTTATCTTGAGAAAACTTTCAGAAAAAAAAAATGATTGAAATGAGCAGATTTGTGATTTATTGATTAAACTAAAGCATTGGATAAAGTGAAACATGAAGGAATTATTAGAATTTATACAACCTTAAACATTGATGGTAAAGATTTAAAATAATTTTTTTTAATTGAAAATATAGTGGCAAGAAGAAGCAGTCATAAGGACTGACACTAAGTTGGAACTTTTAAAAACGTTAAACAAGGCTTTAAACAGGGATGTGTACTATCACCCAGTTTATTCACTTTATACAATGAAATGGTAATTAGATCCATGCATGGTATGCCAGGAATATCGGTTGGTGGGGATATTGTTAACAACCTGCAATATGCAGACGATATAGTTTTAAAAGCTGAAAATGAAATACAGCTGCAAGATATGACAGAAATAATTGTAACCGAATGTGTAAACAAGGGTCTTAGCATTAACAGCAACAGAAAACAAACAGAAGTAATGATAATTACAAAGAGAACTGACCATCCTAAATGCAAAACCGAAGAAAATGGGAACAAACACAAGCATGCTGGTACGTTTAAGTACTTAGATACCATGTTAACAGCAGATGGAAGATGTATTAAAGAAGTGAAATGTAGAATAGCTCAAGCGAGGCAGAATTTTACAAAATGAAGAATATACTATACAATCTTTTTTTCTATAAGTTTAGACAACAAAGAGGGTTTAGTCTTTTTTCTATAAGTTTAGACAACAAAGAGGGTTTAGTCTTTTTTCTATAAGTTTAGACAACAAAGAGGGTTTAGTCTTTTTTCTATAAGTTTAGACAACAAAGAGGGTTTAGTCTTTTTTCTATAAAAGACAAATCATTACAGGGTTTTAGTCTTTTTCTATAATATAACGGAAGAGGGTTTTATTCTTTTTTCATTAAGTTGACAACCAAGAGGGTGTTAGTCTTTTTTTCTATAAGTTGGGGACGAAAAGGGAAGTTTCTTAAAAAAGCAAGTCAATACTATTTTGATATACGGAAGAAAATTGTGGACAGTTGGTAGATTAGGTAAAAATTATTTTGAAGCTGCGGAGAAGGGGCTTTATAGACAAATGATGAGAAAACCCTGGACAGATAAAACGGGTAATGAAGATGTCCTTAAAGACATTGCCTCACGAACAAACCTGATTGCCCAGATCAGAAAGAGACAATCTACATTTTTGCCCATGTGGTGAAAAGGAAAAACTGAAGTATATCGTGACAGTAGGAAAGCTGTACTGTAGGAGAGACAGGGAGACCGAAAGAAAAGATGCTGAGCAGTTTGACAACAAGGCATGTAGGATCACCTGTGTCAGATTTGATTGAAAGCACACGAGGCAGAATGTT